CCGAGTATCAACGAAATCGTTTTATAAAACACTATTCAATTGCTGTTTAAAGAAGGACTTTGAAATTTTGTGCGAAGATATGACTTATAAAAACTCAGTTATCCATTAAAAACAACAGAATATCCCTTCCGGTTTGACCGGAATTGAGTATGAAACAAGAATTTTTAATAGGACCCTGTATATATTTTTACATATTTGCATAGAGCTTAAAATTTCCTTTTCGACGATGCATCACAATCTGTCATTCTATCTATCTATCGATTTTTTGCCCAACTACCCGCTAATTTAAGAGGCAAAATGGATTCTCTTGCCGCTTCTACAATGAGTTGGCAAAACAAAAAAATTGACATAAAGTTGGGAAAATTCTGGTTTTTACTTAAAATGTCAAAATATATTTAAAATTTTCTCAGAATTTTGAATAGGTAATGGAGCTTTCTAAATGCTAACAATAATGAGCGTCTTATTTCCGAAAGAAAAATGCTCAACAGTACGTTTCTTTTGTATTTTTTTATTTCTAACGATAACAAGAACAATAACGGAAACTAGCATAGTAAAAACTAAGTAACAAAAGTTACTAAATAACAGATAACTTAGAAGATAAATTACTAATTAAAAATTAGGAAAAATCATTCAATTAAGTGTTTTATGCGTTGACCGCCGAATTGTTGACATAACCTGACCTTCTTGATGTTTTCTATAAGCAATTTTCAAAAATGTTCTAGAGATATGTTTTCAATGGCTGTTCTAATTCTATTTTAAAGTACTTCTACAAACGGTGGAGGAGTAGTATAAACTTTTTCTTTTAAATAGCCCCAAATTGAAAAATCCAGAGGGGTTAAATCTGACGACCTTGCAAGCCAACGGATTGGTCCGTTGGTTCCTAGCCAATTTCCACCGAATCGCTCATTTAAGTAATTAGTTGCAACCCTAGAGTTGTGGGCAGGGGCGCCATCCTGCTGGTATAATAAATGTTCGTTGTTCAGAAGATTTTCTATAAAATGTTCTATTAGGTTTTGTAAACATTCTAAGTAAAAACCATTTAACGGTTGATAAAAAAATATAGGACCAATGATATTAAGCCCTGCTATGTCTAACCAAACATTCACTCCAAAACTTATCTGGAGGGCACCTTCTCTCACTAGCCTTTGATTCTGCTTAGCCAAATACCGAGTATTGTTTCAATTAGATTAGTAAACCTGGATTCATCCGAAAAAATAATATGGTGCTGGAAGACAGCATTTATGTTCAGATTATTCAAAAACCAGTTGCAATAATTGGAAAATCGTTTTCAAACAGATGGTGATGAATTTGGTACTTAAAAGATTTAAAGCCATGTTTCTTTAAAATTCCCGCGAGTAAAAGCAGTATGATCATAAGGTACCGTCGGGTAATAAGGCCGGACAGGTAATAAGGCCATACAGTTAAAAATCTCATAGAAATAAATATATCATAAGCCTAGCGCCATCTGTACGTAGGATGACTTCAACTGATCCAAATAACATGTGGCTGAAGAGCGTCAGATACTCCGCTTGGAAACAGTGCGCCGTAAACAAAATTCGTTACATTTCAAGTGCTGTGCTATAAAATTTCTCGATAAAAGGTAGGTATGTGATATTTTCACTAGTACAATTGAAATCTGTCTATATTTTGGAACATATAGGTTTATCCTGATGTCGACAACACTTGTAATCTGTTCATTGAAATATTTTTTATTTTTTAATGATATTTAACCTCAAAAATTATAAACGTGCCAGACAGGTAATAAGGCCCGGGCCTTATTTCCTGTCTAGACAGATGATAATAAGGTCACTGCTTTATTGCCTGTCACAATGACTTAAAAATAACCTAACGTATCTAGAAATAAAGCACATCTTAAAATTATGTATGCTACATAAATAATATGTACATACATGAGTTTTTTTTCTGACTTATGGTTTTCCTTATTTACAGACATGGGGAAAAAGAATCGCGGAATAAGGGCAAAATGGACAGACGCAATGATTGAGGAAGCACTGCGACTTGTGCGACTTGGTCATTCCCAAGCATCGGTAGCAATACGCTGTAATATTCCCCGTCGTACATTGAGAAACCATTTGAAAACTGGTTCAACCAAACGAATCCTCGGTACAAAAACCCTTTTAACTGAACAACAAGAAAACGATTTGGTTGAAAAGATAATACGGTTTGCACAAAAAGGATTTCCACTAACCTCTAAAGTGCTTCGTCGTACCGTTTATAAATTTTGTGAACGACTTAATGTTAATCATAAATTCGATAAAGAGAAGCAATTAGCAGGAAAAGAATGGTACCGAGCATTCTTGAAGCGACACCCAAATATTTCGCAGCGAAGGGCACAGCAATTAAATCCTGCTCGTGCACAGAAATTAAACCATTTTATTGTGGATGATTATTTTGAGAAGCTGAACAACCTTTTGGAGAGAACTGGCCTTAAATATATGCCTGGTAATATCTATAATATGGACGAGAAGGGCTGTAGACTCATGCTACACCATCAGCAGAGGGTTCTAGCAGAGAAGGGAGCTAAAAGAGTGCATTTGATAGGGTCAGAACATGGAGAAAATGTAACCATTGTGGCATGTGCAAATGCGCTCGGCAATGCGATACCTCCAATGATTTTATTTAAAGGGCAGAGAATAAAACCAACTTTTTCAGATGGACTTCCAGCAGGGTCAGTTGTGCATATGACTCAAAAAGGAAGCATGACTACGGAGATATTCCTTAAATGGTTGGATCATTTTGCACAATTCAGGTCGCCCCCTCCAACAATTTTAATTTTCGATGGAGCATCAAGTCACCTCGATGTGACTATCGCTGAAAAGGCAGAATCATTGCAGATTGAGCTTTTATGTTTACCTAGTAATACTACCCACGAGCTCCAGCCAATGGACAAATCCGTCTTCCGGTCGTTTGAAGCCCACTGGGATCAGGAGCTTGTAGATTACTGGGATCAACATCCTGACAGAAGATTAAATAAAGAAAGGTTCTCAGATGTCTTTACTCCTGTTTGGGGTAAGTGTATGACCATCAGCAACATCTGTAGTGGGTTTAGAGCAACCGGGATCTACCCTTTTAACAAAAATGCGATACCGGAGTGTGCATTTGCTCCCAGTCTTCCTACGCAGCGCCACAATGACGAAAACAATGCGCCCAATTTGTCTGATGTTGAGATCAGTAATCCGCCTAGTTTGGAAGACCACTGGGTCTCAGAAGATGAAATTCCATTAGCTCAGTTGATCGAAAAAGAAGCACAATGTCTAAATAACTCATTCGCTAAAGAGCTCATTACTCCCGATATGCAGCCAGTTAAAACCAAACCACGAAAAAAAGACCTGAATTATCGAGCTCAGGAAGTAAAAAGGGATGTTTTTAAAGATCCCAGTTCTAAAAAAATTAAAACCAGTGAATCAAGGAAATCGACTGAATTGCCGACCACTAGCAGAGCTGCTAGAGAAGAAGACTGGATGTGCTCCGTTTGTGATAAGGCCTTTGTAGCTGACATGCGATCCTGTGTATTATGTGGAATATGGGTGCATGAGGAATGCGTCGGCCTTACTGCAAATGACACCGAGGAATTTATTTGTCCGCAATGCCTGCCATAATTTTTTTTAAGTACCTTGTTTACTCTTAGTCTCTCTTTTTTATGTTTTTAAAAATAACTGTTTTTTTGCTTTTTTTTTGCGTTAATTAACAAATGCTAAGTTGGGCCTTATAACCTGCCTAGGTTGGTAATAAGGCCAAAATGCATTTTTTTGTCATTCTAGTGTCTAAGTGGTATCATATGTTTTTTAAGATTCTGTTCATTAATATTTTTGTAAAACAAATACCTTAGTTACCTTTTTTATATACGCAAACTCGAAAATGTGTATGTGTTATTAAATAAAAAAGTAAGAATGTTAACCTGGCCTTATTACCCGACGGTACCTTATTCTATGTACGCCAGGACGCTTATTTCGACTTCTAAACCAGTACCATTGATAGGATCGTTATGTTCTTTTTTCACATATTCTACGAGCCAAGGATAATAGGCGTGTGATGGAGCTTGACGATCTGGATACCGCTCATGATATAATCTTGCGGCGCGCCTCGAATTTTTGTGGCATGCACCATAAATAAGCAGCATGTCGATTTGATGATCTATTGAATAATTCATTATACTTAAATAAAATAAAAATAAAATGAAAAATATTACACAATAAACGACGCTGACGCGTGGAAACGAGACTGATAGTTGACGCTAATTTTAAAGACTTCCCCGTTCATTTGTTTCCAAAGCATCCGCAGATCTCCGTGCAAACCAGTGAAATATTCGACCCTGTTGATTATTACAATTCTGGCTTTTTAAAATGAAGAAAAGAAAACAAAACAATAATATAAAAATGAAAATCGTAGATATTTTCTGTCACGTGACTAGGTAAATACCTATTAACTGTGCTTAGGGCCCGTATCGTCAGTCGTCCCTACAATTGTAGGGCGCCTTTATGGCCTCCTTGATTGTCATATTTTTCTACTTCTCCGTGTCGGCGCTCTATTTTGAGGTTATGTCACCAACATCTATTTGCATCAAATTGTGCTTGCTTTTGAGTTATATCATGTTTTATCAGCCAGAAATCTCCTACAATTTAAAAAGAAAACATATCTTCACAATAGGAGATCGCTGTCGCTGACTCGGGACAAGTGTAATCTAGAAATTTTTGAAGGAGAGAAAAGAATATGACAATCAAGGAGGCCATAAACGCGCCCTACAATTGTAGGGACCACTGACGATACGGGCCTAAGTAATAAGAAATACTAATTTATAATTAGCTATAATGCTCTCCAAAATTTTCCAGCTTTTTTGTCTAAGACAACTTCCTTATAGTGGAAATTTTTTTTAGAGGTAATCCGACATAGTTTATTAGTAGTATTTAGAAAACACCGTTTCCTATTCAAAATTCTAAGAAAATTTTAAATAGATTTTGAGATTTTAAGCAAAAACTAAAATGGCCGCAAATTTATATTTTTTCTGTTTTGCCAACTCAATTCAGAAGTTGCAAGAGAATAGATTTTGCATCTTATTTCAGCGGGTAAGTTGGCAAAAAGGTATTTTCAAAACGTCGCCATATTGAATTTTGCGTAAATGCTAGTTACGCCGCCGTTTTGCAAAAGAATGACAGCTTTTCAAACATAGTTGAAAAGGGTATTTTAAGCTTTACGAAAATATGTAAAAATATATACAGGGTCGTATTTAAAAATTTTGTTTCATACTCACTTCCGGTCAAACCGGAAGGAATATTCAGTTGTTTTTTGGATAATCTGAGTTTTTATAAGTTATATCGTCACACAAAATCTCAAAGTTTTTCTTTAAACAGCAATTGAATATTGCCTTGTAAAATGATTTTGTTGACACCCGGTATAATGATTTTAGAAAACGTTAACAACCACCTTAAAATTAAGGATCAGAGAATTACATGGAAAGTACATAATTGTTATATACCTTTTTCCGCATAATCCTTCTCTCTTTATATACATGGTGTTCATTTACAAATTTGCCACCACGTATTTATCGAAAACCACCGATGAAAAGAAAAAACACCGAGACACGTCAAAAGATTTGTCAAGGGGGACAACTTTTTAACCAAAAATTACTTCACCCCCTATCACCCAGAGTCATTCCTTCCCTTAAAAGTATTAAATGACTGTAATAGCTTGTTTGAAAGGTCTTTCGAAGTCCCTTATTTTGACGTTGATTTTCTTAAAATCGGTATATTCGCTTTCAAGAAAATTAGAGAAATCGTTAGTAATTTTAATTTTTTCGGATAGAAAACAAAAACACACGAAAATATCAATCATTGAAGCAAATTGAACACTGCTATGGCACCCGTCAGAAAATACTGTCTCAGAATGTAGTGCCAAAGCAGGAGAAAACACTCATTCAAAGGCCCTGGATTTTTCTGTCCAAGAGTTTTCAATACCATATTAGTGTCTTACAAAAAAGTAAATAATTTAAACTCATTTAAAAAGCAAATAAAAGCCTGGCTGCACGTGGTCCCAAGAGTTTGAATCCATATGTACATAAAAGGCACGAGCTATACATTGTAAGTTGTAGGTCATTCTCAGATTAAATTTTCCATTTTCTAACCAGTACCTTTTAAGCCTTCATATATTATACTTAGTGTAGATCTATTTAGCCTCAGCGGTCTGTGAAGCGGCCGAAAAAATAGTTATAGATAGATCAGCCGCTAGGTTAGTTAAGTCATTAAGCCTTAGCGGCCCATTTTAAATTATCTGTAGTGTTATATTTTATAATCCTTAAGTTTAGTTCTTGTCCAGTTGGATGTAATGACAATCCATACTTCACTTACATATATGGAATTTCACTCAAATGCATATTCATCACTCATTTGTTAATTAGAATAAAAAAAGGATTTTATTCCGTTACGTCATCGTAAGTATTTTCTGTTTTCCTTTACCCGTGCACAAGGGCCACCCTTCTGCGGGCTCTTCATTTATTTGTCCTCTACGTTATATAATTCTATGTGTAATGGTTGTGTATTTTGGAGTCAAATAAATATTACTATTACTATATTACTATTTTAGTAATTGTTCAAAATGAAAAACATGTTGTGGGATAGCATGGCAGCTTTCGATGATGCGTTGACGAAGTTCACCCAAACTTTCAGGTTGGGTAGTGAACACAATAGATTTCAAATGGCCCCGTAGAAAAAGTCTAATGACGTCAAATCAGGTGATCTATCTGGCCATTCTGTATGCCCTCTTCGCCCTAGCCATTTATCTGGAAACTCGTCGTCTAGCCATTGCCGATCCGGAAGAACGTAGTGAGGAGGAGCGCCGTCTTGCTGCTTTATTTCAGCCTCATCAAGTATAGGATTTCTATCCTCTCCGATTTGGTTTTCACTGGTTTCAGTGATAAGCGGACTGATGGAACTTCAACATATCCAAATAAATGTCTCGATTCAAATTTCCATTAATAAACAATGGCCCAATCACTTTTTTTTCTAAAATGTCTGTCCATACAACTTATATTTCGAGTTTGCGTAAATGCCTTTTTAAAAAATATTTTATTTCCGAAATTACAAGTAGTGATTGGCTTCACGCCACGGCTAGATTCTAACTGAATTACAAAATGTAAACTACAATGTTCATTTGAATCCTAAAACACAGGAAAATATCATATTACATTTTAGCATTTGCCAGGCGCTGCTTAAAGGTGCTGAGTTGCATCTTCTATCTTCCAGTAGAATACACGGTAGCCCTATAACTTACATTAATTTTTTGGAGGTACTGGGTGTGTCCTTCTACAAAAGCATGAGTATTTTCATAGCTCCAATATCTGCAGTTGTGTTTATTAACAAATTCATTTATATAAAATAGTCATTCATCACTGAAGCAGATATTCTTTACATGAATGGTATTATCATTAATCGCTGCAGTCATTTGTTCACAAAACTCAACTCACATATCGAAATCATCTTCGCAATATTTTCATTTTGAATGGATGACATTTATGAAGTTTAGTAACTGTGTGTACAGAGTCTAATGAAATACCAGTGGCAGCAACAATTTTGCAAGTATTAGGATTGATTCCAAAATGACCCAAAACCTCAATTTGAGCGGTTTCATCCAAAATTCTCCGATGATCACGTTTTTCATTGTCAACACCCAGTTTGACTAAATTTAGTAACAAGGTCCGAAACATACCTTTGCGAAGTTCTCTTCCCCGGATGTCTGACGTTAAACGTGACGGTAGTTTGCCGAGCACAATGATTTTGGGCACCATAAATTAGAAACATTTCCACTCTATCGGCTAGTGTGTAAACCATTTTGGCAGTAAAATCTGTATCAACAAATTGATTTTCACTATCCCAACATTGTCACAAAGGTTACTGACAGCCAATTAAATTCGTTCTTTCCCTTAGCAACAAATAAGTAAACAAGTATAACAATAAATACAGTTCGCCCAGGATATTTGTGTTGATGAAAAGAATGCGGAGAAATTCGGGTTGTTATTTGGTTGTTGCAACGTCTAATCTTCCGAATTGCTGTTTAGTTTGGTAGTTTCCGTTTTAAATTATAAACGAATTGTAGGTTTGGCAAACCCTAACGGCAATATTTTGAACACTTGTTGAAATAAAAAGTGATATTTTCGTGTGTTTTTGTTTTCTATCTGTACAAATTAAGGCAAAGATTTTTCTAATTTTCCCGAAATAACGAAGCAACTAATTTTAAAAAATCATACGTCAAAATAAAGGACTTCGAAAGACCTCTCAAACAAGCTATTACTCGATATCCCCAGTCATTTAAAACTTTTAAGGGAAGGAATGACCCTGGGTGAAAGGGGGTGAAGTAGTTTTTGGTTTAAAAGTTGTCCCCCTTATATATATATATAACAAAAAATAGGAAAATAATTAGCAAAATCAGCAAAAAGAAGGAAAGTGTATTGGAGCAGAAAATAGGATAGGCCCGAAATGAATGCACATATATAACTACAAAAGTAGATACACATGCCCATACATCCGGATACGGATGTAACCTGAGGAAACGAAGATGGAGAGGAAAAAAATCTTTAGTTACATATGTGCATTTATTTCGGGCCTGATGAAGTCAACCAGCAGAAATACGTATCGCTCGGGTTACCTATCCTATGTTCTGCTCGAAAACACTTTCCTTCGTTTTTGCGGAGTTTGCCAATTATTTTCCTATTTTTTGTTATATACCTTTCTCCGCATGATCATTTTCTCTTTATATATATATACACAATGTGTTTGGTGACGACATACCGATATTTGAGGGGGATATTTTTCAGCTATTTTATCGACAAATCCATCCTCTACAACGTCATACCTCACCCCCCTTGAAATGGATCCGCTGCGAACGAAATTAGGGCTGACACGGATATGGTCTGCCGCTCAAGACGACACATTGTTTTAAGAACCACAATGTGCATAACCAATAATGGAGGAACTCTCTATAAGAAACATTGGTCTGTCATTTTTATGTATACAAAGTTTGAAAACAATTTGCATTTTATTATACCCATTTTGAACCATTATAGATAGCATTTATTGCTTAACGTAGAATACTTGGGATAACAAAAAGCTGTAGAATTAGCACAAAAAAAGTACAACTTCACAGACTAGTTTTTGAATGGTGTGCGGGAATGCACAAAATAATCAATTTTCTTAGACATTTTTTTTTCTGTTTTTGTCTGTGTTTAAATATGTTTTGCGGTTAGTATCAAAACAAGTTTTTCAATAATCGCTAGGACAACATGTCATCGTTCAAATGACACCAAATTTATCACTCTGTGACAATTACGTACTCAGTTATTACAAATTTCATACATGCACTACCGTAATCGTAACGTAAAAATAAAAATAGCTGCCATTTCAAGGGGGATGAGGTAGGACATTGTAGAGGAGTGGATTTGTCGATAAAAATAGCTGAAAAACACCTCTCTTAAATATCGGTATCTCGTGACCAAACACATTTTATATATATATACGTAGTCATGCCATAAGTTCTGTCCCTCGTTTTCAAACAAGTGTAGACCTGTTAATACTTGTCCGATTGTTTACATTGTGGTGTCAGTTGATTAAGCGCTTTTCGGGTAATTACATATACCTCAGTTTGTATTGATCTCTCGAAGCATAACGATGGAGTGGGGCAAGGCAGAGAACCGTATTGCAGTGATAGCTTTACATAAGTGTAATCACAGTGCTAGTCAGATTTTTGAACTCTTACGCGGCCTTCAAATATCGCGTAAATTTGTGTCTAGGACCATTCAGCGGTACAATGAGACGTCCTCTGTTGATGACAGGCCAAGAAGCGGAAGACCTCGTCAAGTAAGGACTCCAGCAGCCATCAAAGCCGTAAAAGCCAGGATTCAAAGGAATCCACTCCGGAAGCAGAAGATCCTATCCAGGGAAATGAAGATTCCTGTCCGGACGATGTCGCGCATCATTAAACAAGACCTAGGGCTAGGGGCTTACCGGAGACGTACGGGCCAGCGACTTACGGCCACCTTGCGACACATCAGGGCGACAAGATCCAAGAAGCTCTTGGA